AACAACGTATTACAGTCTGATGCAATAGTGCAGATGGTAGACTGATAACGAACACAAAGCCAAGGCGTATTTTGGGAAGCGATACGATATAGCTGCGCAGTTCAACAGGCTGATGCAACGAGTGGAAACTATTACATGTACGTGGGAGATATATAAGACGACGTATTGGAGTTGAGAACAGTAGAGAACCCAGTTGGTTACTGAACGGTGTAGACGTGTGTGATTCGTGAGAATAGGAACGATGGACACGTGCATTCTGTTATGTTAGGACTAGTGAGGACAGTGGGGGGTCAGTTGGTTCATTGTATTCTTGTGGAACATTGGTGCATTGTTATGTGGAGCATTTCTATTGATTCATGTAATAAAGAGATCAATGTAAACCTGCATTTCCGAGTATCTATTATTGTGGTCGATGTTGTGTGCTGGTCAAAGGTAGCACGAGTAAATACACTCGGTAACATTTGGCGCTGTCAGCAGTGAAATCGGTAACATTTGGCACTACAAGTAAATAGACTCGGTAACATATATATACTTTTTATATCACTATAAATAAAAAGCTTTGTTTAAATATTTAATATTATAGCGGCCCACGCTTTTATTTATAGTATAGTGATATAAATAGTAGTGCATTAATATTTTTAAAGAAGGTAAAGAAAGTAATTTTTTTATATTTAAAGTAACCGCAGATTTATTATCTATATACTACTAAAAGTCAAGTTTGTTTACATGTTTGAATATTTATTTGTTTGTTTGTTTGTCCGATCGAGTATTGTGATATGTTCGACTCTATCTGGAGAGCTGTAAAATAGTATGTAGGTAGAGAATAATTTTTTAATGCAGACAGACTGTTAATCACACATTTATTTAAAGACGTTAATTAATTTATTGATTTATTCATACGTAGAGTAACCCATTTTTTTTTAAAATGTTAAAACATTGACTAAACTTTGTGGGAATAGTGACGTCACAGGTTTTTGTTTACTCTTTAGTACAATAAAATGGCGGTGTCTATCGAAGAAAATTGTGTTCCCATTCAAAAGTTTAACACGTTCTAAATCTAATTTTCTGTCGGTCATAACTTTAACAATACGTCCGTTTGCTGTATTTATTACGTTCCAACACTTATATCAATTTTCAACTGTCTTTTTTTATTTAGTTTTACGATAAATTTCTCTAGATCTAAAATCTGTCCAAGAAAGTTATTTATAGATCTAGATCTAGAATCTAGGACAATCTAGACTAGGTCAAATCAAAGATTTATTAGTTATAAATACAATAAAAAAACGAGAGATAAGCAAACCAGTCGTAGATCTAGAATATAGATAATTCTATCTAGATTTAGATAATAATGAGTTTCTATATACTAAACTATTTTAGACCTTTATTATTTTGTATAAATCTTTGTTTGGAATATGGTAATTTTGAAATGCTCGCTCCCGGGCCTATTGGTGTAGCTTAAGATTCATACGCGGCTTAGATGCCGGTAAATTTGCTAAATTATAAACGTAAATTCTAAATATAGCTCAGTCGTAGATCTAAAATATAGATAATTTTCTTTCTAGATTTAGATAATAATGATTTTCTATATACTAAACTATTTTAGACCTTTATTATTTTATATAAATCTTTGTTTGGAATATGGTAATTTTGAAATGCTCGCTCCGGGCCTAATGATTAGATCTAGATCTAGATCTAGCAAGAAAAACTAAACTTAAGACTTAAGCAAACGAGTCGTAGAATCTAATCTAGATAATTCTATCTAGATCTAGATAATTTCAGACCTTCTTTATTTTATATAAATCTTTGTTTGGCTAATTTAAGATAAAATTTAATTTGAAAGTTACTACTACTAGACTTAGATCTAGATCTATGTGCGTAAATCATGTTGCAAAAGGAGACTTAAAATATAGTATAAAAATTCACTTGTGACGTCACGAGTAAATAGCTAAGTTGGTAGCGTAGTCCGCTCTCATGCGGGTGGCACAGGTTCTAGACCAATATGTCGATGATATTTTTTTTTCAATTTTTTTTTTCTAGATGTGAACGATAAAGTTGCCTATCTGAACTTGGCAGGATACAGGGCAGGTGAAGTAGGGGGGGAAGGGGGGGGGAACATATGTTGGGGCGCCAAAATGGTTTGGAAAAATAAATTGAAAGGTTGAGGGGGGTTCAAATCGAAAGTTTGAGTGGGGGGGGGTGCACATCAAAAGTTTGAGTGGGGGGGGGGGTTGAAAATCGAAATCTTGGGGGCGGGGGGGGGGGGGGGGGGGGGGTTAAAATCGAAAAGTTTGTCCCCGGGCGCCGGGAAGGGTCGCTATGCCTCTGAGTGACAGACGTGATGTTTTTTGATGGATGACCCCCGAAACCCACAGTTATCCAACGGATGACGGGTAGTCTAGTATTTTTTTAAAATTATTTTATATTTAATAAAAATTGTATTATTTTTTTCTTTTTAGTGCATTTATAAAAGCTTGAAATTATAAAACTTTTTATGTATTTATTATTTTTATACTTTTTAGTATTAACGAGTTATACGCATGTTATGACAATATAGTGTTGCAACAAATATATGATACACAATTTGAAAAACAGTTTTGCTTTAATAATATAATTTGTTTTACTATACGTGTCACAGTTACTGATGTTTTAGTTACAATCCAAAAATTGCCACAATTAGCTGAACACATATCATAGAACAAAAATCTTTAACACTTCTTTAACTGAAGACATTAATACTGTTCAGTCTGTGGTCAAGTTTATAGCTAAAGTTTGAGTTGACTTAAGGTGTTCTTCAGTCTATTTAACTCTGATAAAGCTTCGTTGTTGCAGGGTGTCTTCCTGGTTGAGACGCCCACGTCCGTAGAGTGGTTATACAATGAAACGATGCTGGGCTGATGCGATGGCGTACAATGATGTAACATTTAGTCACTGGGAACTTCTAGCAGTTAATTTAAATAGTACATCATCATCGCGTGTCTATTGAACATGATGACGCGCTTTTGAAGTAGAGCCCTGACGCGTGTGGATAGAACTGCCTACTAATTCAGTTCAAATTTTAATTAATTCTTAAAAAATTAATTAGGCGACCATTTTAGTCAAATTAAATGTCGAGATGCATTGTCTTCATGTCTGGACCCACGTACCAATTACGAACCGTATCTGTTAGTTAGAAGTGCCTGCAATTTCACACGGCCGTTTCGATCTAGACAGATAGACTGACGACAGACTGACAAGGAAGCAAGTTAAATAAAAGCTTGTAAAAAGCATTATTTCAAGGAAAGTTTTTTAATATAATATCAGCCTATCCTGAGTTACTGAATTAGAAGCTAATATATGTTGAATGTGGGTTGCTGTTATAAAAATAGACATTAATTTGATCAGAGAAATAGGTAAAAATGATTATTTTAGGTTTCTATGTTAATAGTGATAAAGGATCCATAGGTGAACCTGCCCATGAAACACATTAATTTTGGGACCTTCTTACTATTTTTAATATTGACTTTTTACAATTGGTAAAAACATGGCAATACCTGTAATTATCAAACAAGAACTTTTGTAATGTTAATGCAACATGCAGTGGAAGGTTAGAAGATATTGAAGTGTCAAATATTTCAGCTTACGGTTTTTAAAATTTAATCATAACAAATATGTAAGCTAATTACACAGAAACTATAAAGATTTAAAGAAAAGGAATGCATTAATCTTAAGACATTTATGATCACCTGCATGTTCATTCAGATGTGCTACATGCTGGTTATATGTTAAGACAGCACTCATGCAATAATCCGATGTCTCTTTAACTACAAATCCTTCATCAAATGTCAGCTGAAACAAGATGCCATTCAGTAAAATAAATTCTTAAATAACAACTGTTTCTATTGTTGACAAATAAAAGATACATGTGGGTTGAAATTTTAGTGTTAAAAATTTAAGGTAAACAGACTATCTTTATTGTTGTATTTCATTTTAAACAAAAAAGTAAATGATACAATGCTTTTACAACAAACCAAAATTCATACAGACCTGAAAGATGGATACTTTATGTAATGGGTTTATAGTAGAATTTTATGATTACATTGTAACCAAATATTGTTTTTAATGGATAAACTACTAAGATTAAAATATGCCAATCAATATATGTATTGTTAATACTAATGTATTGAGTTTATTATGTGGTTTTGAAAAGTAAAATCTGGATGAAAAGTATAAAGTTAACATTTGGTAAAAATCCCATGAATTGTATTTTTATTTTGTATTTTTATTGATTAATTAGTGTGATAAACATGAGGTTTTAGACGATGAATTAAACTCAAGTACTTAAAAAAAATTTAACATGTATTCTCTCATTGTGATAGTTTATACATTACATATCATACTGAAAAGAATAGAGGCAATATCATGCATAAATTATGTTAGTTTCAATAGAAACAATATATTCAAGATAATAAATATTGGGGCAACCATGCAGTATAACCTGAATTTTCTGCCAATATATCCAAGGTATTCGTGTAATACTCTGCTCTATCTGCCCCAAGCCTTATCCATAATAGTTGTTCTTCTTCCCATTCTGCAACAAGCTGTTTAATCAAAGCATTCTCAATTGAACCCAAAAAATATATAACCACAATTCAGAAGTATCTACACGTTTAACATCTTAAATTTTTTTTTTTTTGAAAATATAACTTAAGTGCCTTGATCTATCTGATTAACATCTCAATGTAATAATCATTAGTTAACTATTTGACTAAATGTTACAAAAGGCATACTTGGGCTAACTTTACGTTCATAATTTGTCTACCTCAATCAATAGAAATGTAGATAGATTTTTCTTTTATTATGTAGGTAGTTAAACTGACAGTAACTAAAATGTGTACATTTGTTCCTCAAGAGACAATTTTAGTTTTTTCTGTAACCTTACTTGCTAGTTTAATTGCTCATATTTCAAAGCAATTTTCACCTTTGAAATGAATAAAAATGTCCTAAATCCAATTCAGCAATCAAAATGCCATTACAGTTTTTATAAACTTTGATTTAGTTCCCAATGTCATTTTGGTTGTTTGTGGGTTTGTGGAGAATGAATCATGAATAATTTTAACCATCTTCTAATTGAGTGATCTCATCTAAACTTTCCAAATAAATTTGTTTCTGGTGATTATGCAAGAATACCTCAATTTTAGTCTAATTAGTCATTACATTAGTCATTATTAAGTGATTTCTAGCTTTAATAATAAAAGGGGAAATAACAAGATTAAGAACTAGAGATAGCTCAGTAACGCCTGAGAGTGACCAAAAAGTCTGAAGTTCAAACTCTCGGGCAGATGAGGTTGCTAGCTGGGGACAGCAACTCTTCTAGGAGAGACAACTCCAAACTAAAAAAAACTGCTGCCTTGTAGTTTGTTCTTGGTTGGACAAAGGCTATGAAGCAATTCCAAAGTGACACATCACTATATATTTGTGAACGCTATAAATTAAAACCATGACCAACTATTTTATTATAATAGCCAAAGAAAATGTATGTTTATTTTCTTACTTTTAATGCATTTAAAAAAATGTTATAATAGCTTTTTTTAAACACTAGTTTCATTTTCTACTTGTTAAGATATAATCAGTGGTCAAAGCATTACACATATTTTATATTGTCAAAAAGTTTTGGCTGTTAGTTTGACAGATCAAGTAGAGTTTGTTCTTCTGATCTCAGCCTTAGGAGAAGTAATGTGATAAGTTCTATCACCAGTCACCTTTGCTTTCCTTAATGTAAGTTAAGTACCCATATTTTGGTCTAGGTAAGTTCAGGGATGACCTACATCTGAGTCAGGGATCTGAACTCGAGACTTTCAGGATATAAACTTCCCACACCCCAAACACACTGTCCCATGAACATTCCATTATTTTAGATTTAAATATTAATTTTGCATTTAAATGATAGTGTAAAATTAGCAGTAGTGTAATGTTAACTAATGTTTCCTATAGGTTAGTATTGGTGTTGGTTTTTTATAGGCTAAGATTATAAGCATAATTTTTTCAGGAACCTATGTGCAGCTAGGCAGAATGTCTAGTTTTTTTTTATATTATGTCAAATTATCCATTCAATCTAAACTATGAAAATTGATTTAAATCTTCTTGTTCATAACATTGTCATTCCATTTAGTCTCCATAAAATGTTATCCTTGTGATACTTTCAATTAGCAAAGCATTTTAAAAGTATGAATTAGTAATGAAAAATCTAGCACACATTTTATGTGAACATACTAAAAATTTTTTGTAGAATTTCCGTAATTTGTGTTTTGTCCCTTCTGGGCAAGTGTGCATTTGGGAAATCGGCCTTTGGGCAAATGGCATTTGGCCAAATATCTATTGAACATAAATCATTAACAGCCAAATATCTATTGAACATAAATCATTAACAGCCAAATATCTATTGAACCTAAATCATTAACAGCCAAATATTTAACATTTTTTCTAATTGAATTAAATGGCTCTTGCAAAGGCGTGGGAAGATTGTGTTGCTTGCAAAGGCATATCTGTGAATCATTATTGTGGAACTTGTTTTTTCCTCTCAAAGCTTGATTTTGACCCAGGCATCAATGGGGCAGTGTATGTACAAACCCCTAAGCCGTTTTCATATTTTAATCCTCCAGTTTCAAAAAACATATTTATTTTCTCAACAGTATCTTCACTTTTTGCTTAAATTTATGTGCATTACAAAACAGAAACTCTTCTTTGATATCACCTGAATAAATATATTTTATGTAGACAAGCAACTGCGAGCACAAACTGCATCAAATTGAAAAGCGAGCAGTGATGAAAGATTCATTTCATTCAAAATGTGTTCTTTTGCACTTACAAAGTGTTCAATAACACAAATAATATTCTGTAGACTTCAATAATCTGTTTGTTTTAAAAAATTCAGCCCGGTAAACAAATGCTAGTTGGGAACATGATTTCTCAGGAAAGTATAAAAAAAATTATTCAAAGAATCACCCTCAGCGTTTAAAAAAAATTTCAACAAACTTCATCAAAATTGCACTGTAGATTACACTTACTTTAATAGTTATTTTTAAATATATTAAATTATTCAAACTTCCAGACACCATTAAAAACGTTAAAACCTAAAATTATATTGAATATTTTTGTTTGGATTAGCTTGCAAGATGGCGAAACCCCAGGAGACCCTTCGCAACCCACAGTTTGGGAAGCAGTGTTTTAAGATGTACTTAAAAACATTAATAATAATCATTTAAAAAGTTAAAAAAAACCCACGTTTTCTGATTGAACTAAAAAGTAGAAAATAAATGCTATACATCACAATAATGCTAGCGATCACTCTACTATAAGCGATCAAAAACGTGGGGCGCCGAAGTAAAAGTTATATTACTATTGATTAGATAATACTATTGACTTTTATTAGGGAGCTTGTAGAGAGTCAACAGTATTAGAAACTGTAAGAAAATCACGGCGCCCCACGTTTTTGATCGCTTATAGTAGAGTGATCGCTTGCATTATTGTGATGTATAGCATTTATTTTCTACTTTTTAGTTCAATCAGAAAACGTGGGTTTTTTTAAACTTTTTTAATGATCATTATTTTCTACTTTTTAGTCTTTGTCTGTTTGTTTGCATTAAAATCTTGCTATCGATTTTATCTTTTCACTTTTTTTTGGGTAAACGAAGACAACTCGTAAAAAGACAACTCGTAAAAAGACAACTTGTAAAAAACACGTGTGAATACGTTACTGACTAGAACACATAGATTTGAACCCGTGTCGAGTGGGATAGCAATCGTGTGCCCAACCACTCGACCATATCGTCTCCCCCATACTGGCCACCAGTTGTTACGGTTGGTTGTACACAAATTACAGTTACTGGGTTATGTCCCTTTTCCCCCACGTTTTTACTACAACGAGCCGACCCGCGGCGTATCATACGCCGCTATTTAGTTGATTTATTTTCTACTTTCAGTAATTCATAATTTGTGAAAGCAGCCTCCTCTTAGTTACCTCCTGTAAGCTTAAAGTCGGTTCAAACTTAATTATCTGCCCCTAATAGCCGTCACTAAACCTGGCTAACGTGACCACAGCTCAGCAGACCATGTGGGGGTGGGGTAGGGTGGTAGTGATAGTGATAGAGAGAAAGAGAGGGGACTTTAAGGAGGCGCTTGCAGCTTGTTTTCTAACGGCTCGCAGAGGAGAATTATATATACAGATTATATAGCGGTCTAAAATGCTCAATAAAATGTTTCCATGGATCAATTTAGTAATAATAACAATTGAATATTCTATTGTCATCCAAAACAAAGCTTCCCTGAAAATTTCAGCGCGCTAGCTAACTGGGAAGTGCCAGAAATTTCGATCGCAAGATTTGATTGGAAAGACAGAGACGAAAACAAGTTAAAGAAAACGTGGGAATATAATATTGATGCTTAATTCAACACTACTCTTCAGAGAAAATTAGAAAAAAAATATCAATATAAACGAGATGAAACATCTCCAGCCATTGTTGAGTAAAGAAATAAGACTATGAACTACATAAAGTATTTCTCTCTCTCTCTCTCTCTCTCTCTCTCTCTCTATCTATATATATATATATATATATATATATCAATGTAAGTTTGTGTGTGTGTGTCTTTTATGCATTACTACAACTCTCCTCACATCGCCGTGAAACTTTGGGAAGTTGTTGTGAATATTCCTGGGAAGGTTTCTGCGGAAAAAAAAATTTCAAATTCGCAAGGGTGGCGCCCCGGCAGGGCGTGATTTGTTTTTTCTCTATATACGGTATATAAAAATAAAAAAGTCGATTTTGGTTTGACATCGTTCATCCGATAGCCATGAGACTTTGGTGAGTTCATTATAACACTCTAGGGAACGGTTCTGTAAAAAATAAATTTTTTAATTTCGCAAGGGCGGCGCCACGGGAGGTTGAGATTTTCCTCTATATACGGTATATAAAAATAATAAAAGTGAATTGCAGTGATACCGTTCATCCGATAGGCATGAAACTTTGGGAAGAAGTTGAATTTATTCCTGGGGAGGTTTCTGCGCTAAAAACATTTTTAAATTTGCAGGGGTGGCGCCCCGGCAGGGCGCGATTTGTTTTTTCTCTATATACGATTTATAAAAATAAAAGTCGATTTTGGTTTGACACCATTCATCCGATCGCCATCAAACTTTGGTGAGTTCATTAGAACACTTTGGGGAAGGGTTCTGTAAAAAAAATCATTTTAAATTTCACAAGGGCGGTGCCACGGGAGGGTGCGATTTTTCTCAATATACTGTATATAAAAATAATAAAAGTGAATTGCTGTGACACCGTTCACACGATCGGCATGAAACTTTGGGAAGAAGTTGAATTTATTTCTTGGGGAGGCCTCTACGTCTCTGACACATGGGCGGTCACCGAAGTGTGTTCTACCATATTATTTCGGTGAGTGATTAATGTACACTCAAGGTTTTCATGCGGTAGTGTAGGTAAACCCGTGTCCTGATATTTATGATCCAAACGCAGGCATTGTTTACATTTATATAACTGATTTTTAGAAAAGAAGGTTACGCGTCTAAGAACATATGATTGGTAACGCGTTGGTGAAATCCTTCTAATATATTTCGTCAAACTTTCTTCTATCCCTGCGGCAATGTGCGGGGGGGTCGGGTGCGCTAGTATATGTATAAAGCAATGTATGTGTGTTTGTGTGTCTTTTATGCATTACTACACATTTTATCTGACCACCGTGAAACTTTGGGAAGTGGTTGAGAATACTCCTGGGCAGGTTTCTGCAGAACAATTGTTTTTCAAATTCGCAGAGGAGGTTTCTGAAAATACATCTTATTTAATTTTGCAAGGGCTCCGCCCGGGGAGGGTGCGATTTTTATATTTATATGAATACATAAAAATCTATTGCGGTTTCGCACCTTTCATCCGTTCACCATCCAAATTTGGGGATTTGATTAGAATACTCCAGGGAAGGGTTCTGCAAAAAAATCTTTTTTTTAATATTGCAATGGCGGGCCCCAGGAGGGTGCAATTTTTCTCTCTATACGGTATATTAAAAATAAGTCAGATGCAGTTCAACAACGTTCATCTGTGTGCCATAAAACTTTGGGGAGTTGATGAGAATACTCCTAAGAAGGTTTCTTTGAACAAAATAATTAAAATTTGATATGGGTGCAATTTTCGTCAATACACAATTTGGCATCCAGAGTTCCAGAGCGGGTATGTTAGCACGTGGCATCCATTAATCAGCCTTCCTGCATAGTGGGTAAGATGTACTACTTTAAAACATCAACATGCACAACCGCAAGCACCCGGTAGATTGCATGACCCCAAGCACCATGGCTTCCCCTGCGAGTACTATGGCACCTATGTTCGTTTTAAAAAAAGGCTATACACAAAAGACATGATGGGCAACAATAATCCTTGACTGCATTGACCCAGGCGCTTTCCCTGATGCCCCTGCAGGGTTCAATTTGGCGCCCTGGGCTTTCCCGTGAGCGCAATGGCGCAGTGCAGTAGATAATGGATATGATGGGGCATTACAGTCACTCACTAAACTGACTGAGGCGTGTCTGCCGGTGCCCTAGTAGGGTGTGATTCGGCAGCAAAAAAAATTTCAGTATCACCCCCCCCAAAGGCTCACATGGGCCGCTGAGGGCCCTGTAATAAACTTTTTTTAATAATCAGAAAAATAAAACAAGGTTAGATTATTAATTGGGTTGTTTCCTTTTGTCCATAAAAAATACAATTCCAAAGCCTACAGTTCTCGAAATAGTGAAAATATTTCTGTGAAAAATTAAGTTTTGGAGGGCCCCGATAAATATGATCCAAGCGCAGACATTGTTTACATTTAAATTTAAACTCAGTTTTAGAAAAAAAAGATCATACATCGAAGAATACAGGATTGGTAATGAATTGATGAAACGCTTCTTATATATTTCATCAGACTTTCATCTATCCCCACGGCAACGGGCTGGGACAGGCACGCTAGTTAGTTTATAAACTTAAGATGCAATAATTATTTTTTAATGAATTGTTATTATAATAAGAATAATTTCAACTATTAGAAATTTAAGTGTATAGGAAAATGTATAGGTCTAATGGCTAAAACAATAAATAGCTATAAGGCTTTTTCATCACATGCTTTTCAAAATTACAATGCTAAAAGGTTCATATGCACACTGTAAAACTAAAGCAAATTTATTTTATTGGTCAATAGGAAATTTGACAAAGATAAAATATATCTAAAAGTAAAATACTCTTATTGAAATAAAAATTGTTTGTAGTGAAGCCATTAATAAATTATTTTGTAAAAAGTATTACATTTCATATCAGTGATTTAAAGAAAAATAATATTACAAATGTATCCAATCTATTTTACTCCAGATTCTAGTGAAAGCACATTAATTTTATATATTTAAAACAAGAAAATCAAAGCTTACCTCACCAAGGTCTTGTAACATAGATATCATGTATTTTTCTTCATTAACCCATAAACGCCTGAAAAAGTGTAATTTAAATATTGGTATCATGGGCGGGTGATGAAAACCAAATTAGTCAAAATGCTTATTCTCAATCTAACGCTATAATATTTAGTGTATAGTTATAACTCAAAAAATAAAATCCAAGATGGCCACCATCACCATGGCAATGGTTTTGCTGCTTTTTTTAAATTTTTAGACTGAACTCTTTACGTTATAACTATAAGCAACAATGAGGATAAGCTATAGATGGTGGAGGGGGGGGGGTCTGTAAAAAAACATGACTTTCCTAGTTGACGATGAAGGGCAGACTCAATACCATACCACTTTAGAAAAGCAAGACGTACCCCAGGACAACATTGCAAACTTATCAACCATACTTACATACTTTCTTCTTCATTCTTAAATGTAGTATTCAAAAAGATCAAACTCAGTAACTCAACAAGAGCAACCTAATCAGCAACAGACAGCAATGTCGTTGCTCAAAAGTCTGTATTCAGAAAGCCTCCCACAGCACCCACCACCCTCATATAGTTATTGTCTGAGTGTGAGTGGATATCAAACAAATAAAAATTGGCCTTCGTTTACAATGGTATGTTTTATCTTAAGCAAGATAACCTAATGTGATATTAAATAAATGAAGACTATCAATGTACACATTCAGAATGTTACATCAGAATGAACTTACTCGTAAAATGTTGTATTTCTTATATTAATAAGATTGGGATCCTGCATATTCTACTTGGTGAATTTAATCAACCACTGTTCAATTAATGATTTCCACTTTTGGTTTATAATGTTTAAGACAGATTAGATACATTTTTATTTTTAATAGGCCTAATAGCCTGATAATGTAATTCAAAAATAACAAAATACAAAAGCGGAGAATGGTAGTATCCATATAGCTAATATTTAGGCCTATGGGGTCTATTTTGTTAGTAGGGTTTACACAGCTTGTTATCGTGTGAAGAAGAAAGTAAAAAGATTTGTAAAAATATAATTAAAGATGTAATTAAAGAGTTCCACTAAATTCAAAATTGTATTGTCTCACTCAAATCAAAGATAGTGTCATTATTTTTAGTTCTAAATCATCTTTTTTATAATGGGCACTAACTTCAACTTTGTGTTAAATAAAGTCATTAGTAGCACATAGCGCAAGCCACATCATAGCTCAATTTACAATTTGTACCATTTTAAAAAGGTTATTATCTTTGAATGTACTCTTTTATTAGTTTAAAATTACATTTTCAATTCTAAATTATAATAATTCTATGAGAAAAAAGTATTGAATTTGGTGACTACATTCCAATAAAGCGAAGGAACGTGAAAATGCGGTATGAATACCGCTAATATGGTGCCTAGTAAGTGTTACGCTTATGCTGTGCAGTGAGGGTTTGAGTCACTTGACTCGGCCAACTACCATTTAGTCCATCTCCAATACCAGGGAGAGAAATTCTAACCTTGGGAACCAATAAGGCTATCCCACGTTCAGTCCAATATGTGCCGCTCAGAGATAAGGCAAACTCAATATTCCTAGTTCAATATTTTATTCTTATATATACATATATCTATCTCCCAACTTGAGTCATGCAAATCAGCACACGTCCTTTCACACTGACAATCAAGATTCGATTAACTCACACCCAAACTCCTAGCAACCAGTCTCTACCCAAATTTGTCACTATACACCTCATCATACCTTTCGCACCATCATTCACTCACACTGATCTACACTCAGAAAATGCATCATAACAGTAAGTGAGAAATTTTTCATAGTCTGCTAAACTGATAAACCTAAAATAAATATGTTAGTTAGAAAGTTTAATAAATAATGAAGATAATCCCACTAAGAAACAGAGTTAATCTTAATGTTTTAGAAAACTCAATAAGAGATTACAAAAACAAGTAAAAAGTTTAGATAAAAATTATACATCAGTAACGGTTAATAACCGCTGTTAATAAGAAGAGCGTTTATAACTTGAATCCTAATCGCGTTCTTTAATTTTTAAACAGTTAGGTTTAGGACCTGTGACGTCAAATTTTGTTGGCTAATATATATTATATATATATATATATATATATATATATATAGATAGATAGATAGATAGATAGATATATATATAGATATATATGTATGTGTGTGTGTAACTAGATCTAGTAGAAAGTTACCAGCAGCCACAACTGATAACAACATAATAGTGTCAGTCAACAAGGACAAGGCTGTTGGGTCAGGATCACACTAGTATCTATTCACTACATAATTACAGGGTACACCGTTGGGATGGGCAGCAGGTGATGCGTTCAAAGACTGACCACTCTGACAGGACAATAGTAGTCTTTATGCTGACCAGTAGCCAGGGTTGTTGGGTTATAAGTTTTCAGCCCATTGGGGGGTTAAGACAGGGGTATAAGTTGGAATTCCATTTAAAGGGTTTTATAGTGAAAATGGTTGATGTTAACACATTTTCAACTTTTGAAATAGTATAAAGTTTAAGGCAACAATATTAAGTACATATTTATTTCTTAACGTTGTGGTTTCTTTATTCTTGGATTTAGGCCCTACTTTATTGTTTTTTTTTTAATTAATTTAAGTTTCACAATAATTGCCTCAATAAAATATGTTTGGCCTACTTACAGCAGCTGTATTGGTACTTCATATGTCCACTTGCTTTCTGCCATGTATTCAGAAACTTGAATCATATTCTTTTCATTGTTTGTTGCAAAACGAAATGAACGCTTAATAATATCATTAAAATGATGTTGTAGACAATGGGAATGGTGGCCCAACGAAGCTTCCCCAGGACGTTTATTATATGTCCCACTCTGTGAATAGTTGTGCAAAAATCTGAATAACGAGTTATTCAATATTTAATAGTATTAATTTAAGTGCAAATTTAATTTTTTTAATAATTTTAACATTTTTCTTCTCAATTATTTTATAAAAAAAACTCCTATATTGGGCAAGATAGGCAGTGGTGTCACTAGGTTGGGTGTCACCCCCCCCCCCCCTTATTTTTCTCTGTAAAACTTGCAGTTGGTAATGTCCCCCCCCCCCCCCTCCCCCTGGTAAGGTAAAAGCTTTAAAGTGTTCTCATTTAATACTAATGATGTTTATCTAGCATTGCTTTCTCTATAGTTTGAAGGTTTACGTCATGGTGTCACACCCCTTGTTGGGATCATAATTATATACTTAACATAATTTTTAACTCTAATTAACCATTCATTGAACTGGCAAAAAACATATTTATTCTAAATAAATCTTGAATTTTGTGTTGGTGACACCCCCATAAATGGTGTCATCAGGTGCAGTCTGCACCCCCTGACACGCTTCGCGATGCCTCTGATGATAGGGCATACATTGTGTAAACCTATCAACAAAGTGAATTTATTTTTTTTCAAAACCAGTAGTTTAAAAGTAGCTTCAACGATTTTACCTGTTGTGCTTGAAGTTGTGAAAGGGACACTTTTTCATCATTAATCCAGGCAGTGATGGTTATGATTCCATTTTCTTGTGAATATGGTGATCTAGATTATTAAATATTAAGTATAAAATTATATGGATTTCCCTACCCTATTAGTACACAAAGACTTCATATATGTAATCAGTTGAGTTATTTTGCACCAATCATTTAAGAAAATGTTTCAATTTTTAAAGCATCTAAAATTCATTTAACGTGCATGGAACGGATCCCATTTGTATAAATATAAAACTATAAAATTTCTGGTAAAATAATAGTAACTTATTACTTAAATCTGATATTTAAAGAAAGTGGTTTAAGTGAAAATTAGTCTAATTAAAAATATTGTATTAATTATATGCAAATATTTATATGGTTATAAAAATCTGTTTGCTTTTTGTTGGACTTAACTAAAGATTGTATGTATTTGATGTTCTTAGTATTTTTGGTACCTAAACAAAATTGTAAAAAAGCCAAAAACAATCAGGTTTTTTAAATTTTATCACAAAATGAAAATAAAAATGAAAAAACCAGGTCATGTGGTTTACAAAAAAATAATTTTTTTTTAAATTTTATTGGCAAAGTTTTGAGAAAAAATTTATATGAAGTGGGGTTTTCAGAATATCCACACTTTTATAACATTAATTCTAAAAATATTAAATTTCTGAATTATTTGTAGGCTTAAATTTTTTTACTGCTACTTTGATGGCAAAATCTAAAAGAAAAACTATTTATATCCATGTCAACAAGAATAATAGAAGGATTCACTTGAAGTCCATTGATGCATAACCATAGTAATTAGTATAGAGATCTAGCCATTAAGGAGGTGTATTGAAGAACTTTTAAATGAAATGGTTTCTTTGAGGTTGAAATCTTATTTACATTCATATTCAATTTCAAACTTGGTATCCTCTATACAGAAATGCAGTGAATGTGTTTTAAAAGTTAATTTTGTTGTCTGATTATTAAACAAAACATTAAAATTATTACATACTTTATTTGCAATGACAATCTTAAATCCACACTGTTTAATAAATCCTGTAGGGTAAAAATTGCTTGCCCCAGCTGCTTCATCTGTAGAGATACAATATTTGTATTATTCCATGGTAAGATGATTAGCGTTCATCATCAAATAAAAAATTTAAAATCCTGATTTCCTAAAGTTCTATATTAGCAGAAAAGTCCTATAATGAAATAAAGAGTTTTTCTCACCGTTCCTGTCATTCTCTCAACAACATGATGAACAGTAATCCTAACTCTGGTACTGGTATCTATTCCATATTTGTCCCCAAACCCAATGGTTTTCAAAAACTGGGGGTTGTTATTTTTCTAGAACACAAAAGTCAAAATTTAAAATGCCTCTTAAAAATGTAGTGATAAATTGTAAAGTTTATTACAAACATGTGTACCTGTCGCACATTGCTGCAACATAGTCCTTACACACCAGAGTGACAAAACATTTTTCAGGGTTTCATCAATGTGTTACCAATTATGGATTTTTAGACGTGTGACATTGTTTTAAAAATTTGGCATGTTATTTCTTTGGAAAACTGCGTAATGGAAAACTATGCACAAAAAAGTGAGCTAGGGAATATTCGTTTTCTTAAATCAAGCATTTATAGACATCAAAAAGAGTTACTACATGTACATTATTGCATAATAAAACATATTTCCTCGAAATATGACAAAATTAAAGTATGTTAGTATAATTAGTATTTACAAATTTTTCTGTTTGCACAGTTTTCCATGGCGCAGTTTTCTGATTACACATCTTTCTGGGAACCATTTCTTGGATATTAGTTTTTGGGGCGTGGCTTTGTCCACACTGCCACACACTGCTGTATGAACACCTATATGAAAAACTATATAATGTGGAATATACCTCAGTAACAACAGAGGGGTGCCAAATTGCACCATGTCAGGTCGCACTTGATTCAACTTAGTCAACAATTATTGTATCCCACTGTGGGGCAAAATTGCAGGGTGCTGGCAGAATGAAGTAGTACCCCTGACACCTTATGCTGGAGGCCCATAGATACAAAAAGCTAGGATAGCCACTGGAAACTCTGAGTGCCAAACTGTGATTTTTATTTTATGTACAGTAGGCCTATATAGAAAAAATTGCACCCAAATTTTTATATTTTTTTTTGCAGTGTGCACATAGGCTTTATATGTTAGGTGCTATATATGTAAGTATATGTATATATATATATATATATATATATATATATATATATATATATATATATATATATATATATATATATATATATATATATATATATATATATATATATATATATATAAGGGGGCTGGTAGTGTGTCAGCCCTTCCTTCCTTCCATTGCTATAGATTTTGGAACCATAAAAGTAAACTTCGCACCATGCAGTGCTTTTCAGTGCACCACAGTGTCTTATTATAAGTGATAGTGTAGGGTTTGTTTATATAACCACATAAAGTTATTTAAATTTTTATAGTTGCCACTGTTTTTACTCTTTTGCATAACATAAAGAAAATATTAAAAACATTTTATAATGATCAATATCAAATATCATTTTCGTTTATATTCCTAGAAAAAGTGGATACATTTTTATAACGTAATAACAGTAGGGTAGAAAAATCAAATTAATTTAACTCTTTTAAAAAATTTTGACAAGGGAGGTAATTTAAAAATAAATTAAACTCATGCTAATTAAAAAAAAAACTGTGAATGCAAATCTACGGACGTCCTAGAAGGAATTAGTGTTGCAATAATATAATTAGCAAAATGTGAATGCAAATTATGCGGATGTGTAAGAGGAAATTTTGTTAGAAAAATAATAATTAGCATGGATTAATAAAAGGCAATATTTTATTTATTTGCTACTTATAATTTTTAATCAACCATTCCGCACTATTATAGACGCGTCATCACGTTCATTGGGTGCGCAATGGTTTTAGTTCTGAAACTCTATTGTAAATTTTTAAAATTTACTGAAAAAATAGGTGTAAATTGATAAAGTGCAATATGGTAGGTAAAACACGGATATTTTAAATGCTGCCTATTATTTATTGTATGCACTGAACATACTGTTTAATAATTATTATTCTATCTTTCGGTTTGCGTACAAGCTGGGGGTTTTATAGTCGTTCACTGAATCAGGCCCTTCCACCGGTGCTCGGGCAGGGTGCATTGATTATTATATGTTACGGTTCATAAGGAAAATAGAAAAATGTTAAGATTATTTATATTATTTTCTAATTAGTCTATGATCTCTCACAATCACAATTTTTTGTTTTTGTTTTTCGGTGTTAACAGATGGTGAAATTTTAGAATTATAGTATAGAGAATGCTGGGTGCGGACGCCTGGGAAAGCGTGTTTTTCGGTGGTGATTCTAATTGCATTGCCAATGTGTTTTCTTAGAACCATAAAAGTAAACACCACTTATCGAACATTTATTTGCATAGCATGTTTTATTGTAAGTTATGGAGTTTGGTGGTGATTCTAATGTTGTGGTTGTGTTGTGGTTATGTTTTGTTTATGGTTGTGTTGTGTTTTTGTTTGTTTTTTATGCTGGAAAGGCTCTCTTTGGGCGCGGACGCCTAGGAAAGCTTTTTGTTCTGTGGTGATTCTTATGTTGTGGTTGTGTTGTGGTTGTGTTGAGGTTGTGTTGTGTTTTTGTTGTTTTTTTTCTGTTCCCAAGTTTGTACATTTAAAAAAGATTTACTGTGGCGGAGCACATGTATGCAGCTATTTTATATATATATATATATATATATATATATATATATATATATATATCGATGGTCTCGGTCGCAAACCGTCTAACTCCAAAACAGTAAATTTTACAGGGGAGACAAAAAACTGATTATTTCATAGTTGATCACTCTAATACAATTTTTTTAAAAATGATATGTGCGAAGAACCTTTCTACCGACTATACTGTAGCGTTTTAAAATGTGTTTTATTGATATTTACAAAATTATTGCAGGTTTAAAAGATTGTCGGTTTTGCTCGGTCTAAAACTCTCGCTACCAAACCGTCTATCTCTGCGCGCGCATACTTAGCTGTTTTGAACCGAGAATTTCGGTCTCAGCCACGTTCGTTCGTTTTGTCCAATGAACATGATTTAGTTAAGTTTGTTTTTTTATGCTAGAAGTAACACTTTATAATATTTAGATTATAATTTAGGGCTCATATTTTAATTATTTGAGTTTATTCTACTTTACGGGATTAGTTTAATTTTAGTAGAGATGTTTTGGTATGGCTTTATCTCTTTCTGCCGTTTATTCATTATGGCTGTATTTAGCACTACATGTGTTAATTGTTGAAGGTTATGCTTTATTTATTACGCTTCTATTCTCACAGTTTATTTTACTTAAACTGGTGGGTGCTGCATTTGCAGAATGATAATAGTAATAATATCAACATTGCTGTCAGATATTGTATGAACGAGACATAACACATTAACTATATTAATAATGACTAAAGATTTACTTATTTCACAAAATGCAACCAAATACAAATGTGTTTATTTGTTTATTAATTCTTTAAATAAACATCGCACGAAGAAACATTAAAATGGCAACATGTTTATAAAAATGTGTATTTATGACTTGCATTTAGGTGCTCATATGACAGCTTTTATCTTTTTTTCTGTCCATGTAAAACTAGTCAGGGGCTACAGATGAGATCATAAGGTTGCGACCCTAGTTTAGCAATTGCCAGCTATCTACTAATTCACTTTGAAGTAGATAGTAGCATTAAGGTTGTACTGTAGTGCACGAATATCTGTCGCATTAAATTCTTGATAGGTCTGACTGTTGAAAAAGGGTGGTGTCTTGTATGGTAAGATTGGTCAGTTGAGAGAGGCTGGTCTATTTCATTGTAAGACTTGTCTGTTGAGAGATTTCAGTCTTTTGCATGTTAAGTGAGATCGGTGTCACGTTTGGTAAGATTGGTCAGTTTACAGATGCTGGTGCCTTGTATGGTAAGATTGGTCAGTTGAGATATGCTAGTCTGTTAAGAGATGCTAGTGTCTTTTATGTAAGATTGGTCAGTTGAGATTTGCTGGTCTGTTGAGAGATGCTAGTGTCTTGTATGTAAGATGGGTCAGTTCAGAGAATCTGGTCTGTTGTAAGATGCTGGTGTCTTGTATGGTAAGATTGGTCATTTGAGAAAATCTGACATCTTGTATGGTAAGATTGGTCAGTTGAGATATGCTGGTCTGTTAAGAGATGCTGGTGTCTTGTATGTAAGATTGGTCAGTTGAGAGAGGCTGGTCTGCTGAGAGAGGCTGATGTCTTGTATGGTAAGATTTTTCAGTTGAGAGAGGCTGATCTCTTGTATGGTAAGATTGGTCAGTTGAGAGAGGCTGGTCTGCTGAGAGAGGCTGATGTCTTGTATGGTAAGATTTTTCAGTTGAGAGAGGCTGATCTCTTGTATGGTAAGATTGGTCAGTTGAGAGAGGCTGGTCTATTGAGAGATGCTGGTGTCTTGTATGGTAAGATTTTTCAGTTGAGAGAGGCTGATCTCTTGTATGGTAAGACTGGTGTGTTGAGAGAGCCTGGTCTGTTGTATGGTAAGATTGGTATGTTGAGAGAGTCTGGTATGTTGTATGGTAAGATTGGTATGTTCAGAGAGTCTGGTATGTTGAGAGAGGCTGGTATGTTGAGAGAGGCTGATCTGTTGAGAGAGGCTGGTCTGTTGAGAGAGAGGCTGGTATCTTGAAAAAGGGTGGTGTCTTGTATGGTAAGATTGGTCAGTTGAGAGAGGCTGGTCTATTTCATTGTAAGACTTGTCTGTTGAGAGATTTCAGTCTTTTGCATGTTAAGTGAGATCGGTGTCACGTTTGGTAAGATTGGTCAGTTTACAGATGCTGGTGCCTTGTATGGTAAGATTGGTCAGTTGAGATATGCTGGTCTGTTAAGAGATGCTAGTGTCTTTTATGTAAGATTGGTCAGTTGAGATTTGCTGGTCTGTTGAGAGATGCTAGTGTCTTGTATGTAAGATGGGTCAGTTCAGAGAATCTGGTCTGTTGTAAGATGCTGGTGTCTTGTATGGTAAGATTTTTCAGTTGAGAGAGGCTGATCTCTTGTATGGTAAGACTGGTGTGTTGAGAGAGCCTGGTCTGTTGTATGGTAAGATTGGTATGTTGAGAGAGTCTGGTATGTTGTATGGTAAGATTGGTATGTTCAGAGAGTCTGGTATGTTGAGAGAGGCTGGTATGTTGAGAGAGGCTGATCTGTTGAGAGAGGCTGGTCTGTTGAGAGAGAGGCTGGTATCTTGAAAAAATAAAACTGATTTTTTTTTATTTCTGTCAGTCAGACTGGAATATTTTTTTTTACTAATAAAATGGCATCACTTTGTTACTTGACAGCTTGTTATTGCTAGCTAAGTTTAAATAGCCTTCTCCCTCTGCTGTATGGTAGCATCTGTCAATACAATTTCCTATCATGTGATTAAATAATTTCAAATTTGATCTGAAATCTAAACATGTAATACTCATCACTGTAGTAAGCTAATTGCTAAGCTCATGTTTTAATGCGTTATACATTGAAGCATGCTTATTATTTGTTGAACTGAATAGCCATCTCAATATTTGGCATTTAATATCAATATTAATCATACTGGCATTTACTAAAGACAACTAAGCCAAACATTTTGTGACCTACCATATAAACATTTCTTAACATGTAGCTAAACCCTCAATATAAAGATATTAGTGAATTAACAATAATTAAATTTATTGCACAAGCTTGTGGAAATGTAATTCTAATATTGTTTTTATTGATCTCTAGATTTAGATTCTAGAATTAAGATCTAGTTTCAAAGCATTGTGTTAGCTTAATGAAAATGTAAACAAATCAGTTTGGTTCTCGAAAATCTACTGGAAATAGGCTAATTTAAACAAATACTCTATGTTTATTATTTTTTTAAATGATAAAATATAATAGAATAGATGAATATTATCAATCAAATATTATTACCAATAAGTAATTTGACTGCTGCGGTGTAAAATCGTGTGATTGCAGCGCGTGACTGCGTTTCCGTCAAAAGTGTACTTACAAATATAGCGATGTTCGTTTTACTCCGAGATTTTTAGCGCTAGAAATAATAGGTGGTTTGTTCAAATGATTATATCTAAATAATCATTCAACAGATTTCTATAATATTTCAGGCATTATGGGGAATCATACTGGCTTTTGATTTATGTAAAAAACAGAAAATTGAATTTTTTTGAGTTAGACGGTTTGCGACCGAGACCATCGATATATATAATCTTTTCCCACATGAGGCAGACGAAGTAGAGTTTATCTGCTTTAGAGACCTTGACATAAAAAGGGTTAGTGTGGTCAGTACTCTAACCAGCCACCTTTTGGGCTAGGTGGACTCAGGACCATTCTACTGACTTGAACCCGTATTAAAATATACATATATAAAGTGTTAAAAATTGTGTGACTTTTTTTTTTGCTACCCTTACACCAAACACCTGGAACAGCCACTGTGCTACAATTTCTTTATATGCAATTAACAGCTTTAAAATATACCTCTACAATTTCTGAATGATTATGGTGCATCCAAACTTGTTGTTGAGGAGGCAACATTGTGTGTACAATGACTAGTGCATTTGGTGGAACATCAGTATTGTCGTTTTTCAAATTTGCACAAGCTAAATAACATGAAAAGAAAAGTCAATTTTCATTAGTTTTCCAGCAATTTCGTGTTAAATTTTGTTGTTCATAACAAAAAAGTTTGTTATTTGTAAAAGAAATTCTGATTTATTGGACAAGAGGAATGAAAATACTTCTCCTTTAATGAAATATGAACTAAAATTTCTATTAAAATTAAACATGTTAGAAAAATACACTATCATACTATGCCTCAAAAATAAAATTTAATTAAAAGAATTGTAAATTAATGAGTCTATTAATAATTAGCATTTTAGAAAAGTACATTAACATACAATACCACAAAAATATAGTTCGATTTTATTAAATCAAGCATTAAATAAATGTAATTTGACTTTACATATTAATCTAAATGTGATGTACATACATATAGAAACCTCCAGAACTGGATCTTGACTTGCATTATCTAAAATTATATTAAAAATCAATAATTTAATTAACTGTTTGCATTACTGGTGAAATTATAATGAACAGAAAATTGTAGTATAGTAATTGTATGTAAGGAAACCTCAAAAATAAAACCAAATGGAAATGTTTAAATATGTTCATAATGATGGCTTTTACATGCACTTAAAAGAAGTAAATCAAATGATTTTTATTGAAATATAATATTGCATCACTATTTAAATAACTTTCATAAAAAGTGTGTGCCCATTATAAAACTTTTTTATAGTTATGCAAAAAGAGAAGCATTATTATATTTAGAGAAAAATTATTTTACTTTCCTGTTGTTAGTCATGTTAGTACATAACAAAAAGCTTATCATTATATATCATTTTTCAATATTAAAAGTGTGCACCAAATGAGTGCACAGACAGGGTGAACAGAACAGTACTTGATATTGCAATCTTTAGTCAATTTATAAAAATGTATCAAACTTCTGACATTAACAAAGTCTATGGCACAGTGCATCAAGTGGGAGAAATTTTGCTAACAAGTTTATACACATGGCAAAAACAATAGACAAAAGCAAGGACAAAGAAGCAAGTTTAAAAAATAGCTTGTAATAAAAAAATTAAATAACAAAAAAGGCATATCCTGAATGATTTCGCCAGACACAAATATTAAATTTTTGTTCAATATCTATATAAACAGAGATTTTCTTATTAGAATTAGACAATTTGTATTATAATTATTCTTTTAATGGTTAAGGGAATTATCTTAATAGAATAAAAAGAGACACATCTTAAAAAAACAAATTAATAATGTTTTTTCTATTATTTTTCTTACTGCAGCTATTAGTCTATAAATATATTTTTACATATATTCCACACTTAAGTTAAATTTCTTTTTTTTTAAAAAGTGCTTATGCAAGGGAAAGTGAAGGCAGCCAACTACTCCATCTGCTTTATGATCATCTGGTTAAAGTTGGGTAACTACAGCTAAGTAAAATCAATTGTTACCTGAGTGGAACTCAAAGTCAACACTTGAATTGGACTCATTAGTTAAGCATATTGGATCACTGCCAGTCTTGGTATGTAGTTGTTCACGCAAGCTTTGAAGTTGCATTTTTAAACATTCATGGCTTGCAATGTGTAGGGACTGAATCCATGCATCTCGCACAGCCTCAGAATTGGCATCAAATCTAAATGCATGATCTTCTCCCTCAAAGACTAAGGAGAAAAGCAGATAGTTTTGTATTCAAAGAAATATATATAATTAAAAGATCTTACATCTAATAGTACACAATTTAATTTTTTTATTATTTACTCCACTGAAAAATAAAATCTGTATGTAATAATTCAAAATAAAATTAGATGAGTCTCTATAACTTCATACTACCAAATTTCATTATAAATTTCAAAATCTGATACTGATATATAATTATAAATTTTTAGTAAATTATCAATTACTTTCAAATGAAAAAATGCTCCTTGCATAATGGCAACAGCCTACATCTCCTGTACATTAATGACAACTTTTGCTGGTGACAATTATGTATTTGAATTTTTAAGCATCAGCACGTTGAATTTACAACCATTTCACAAAGGCTAGCCAAAAGAAGGATTTTTACTCTTCATTTTTAAAAAATAGTTAATCATTAAATACTACTTTTTAAAAATACTTTCTTTAAAAAAATAATTGCAAGAAGTTTCAAGAACAGTAGAATACGCGGAGGAGTGGGGAGCATTTTAAGGATAGTGACACTTTTTTCAGAGAATGATTAAATAAAATTTAAAACAAGCTTGGCAACAACAACAAAAAAAAACATTACTGAATGTGTGAATTTAAAACAGTAATGTTCTGTATCTTAAATATCACATTTTTAATTTGTACGCTTCTTGGCTTACATCTCCAAGCCTAGCTGTTTGACAGGCATGAGTGCAGTGCTTTTCATCAAAATGTCTATCCACATTTGCACCTGTATATCAGCATTTTGTGTTATTCTTGCTGGATATG